ACAGCGTTCAGTTCAGCTGAGCCCGAGGCCGGCTCAGTCCACTCCATCATCTTGAAGAAGTGCTGCAGGCGGTTGAGGGTTTAGGGTTTAGGGTTTAGGGTTTAGGGTTTAGGGTTTAGGGGTTTAGGGGTTTAGGGGTTTAGGGGTCTAGGGTTTAGGGTTTGGGGTTTGGGGTTTAGGGTTTAGGGCTTGAGGAGTCCTCGAAAAAAGGGTTTAGGGCTTCGGTTCTGGAATTAGATTCTCCCCCGTCAGAAGCCCGGTTTAGTATGGCTCGGGTAAACTAGCTCCGCAATCTATATAACCCTATCATGGTAGCTTGACGCTTGTTCCTTAACAAAAACCAACAACGCGTGAGAGTTACCCACGTCTTGCGGCGTGCTTGGACTTCAGATAAAAACCCTAAGCCCGAAGCCCTAAGCCCTCAACCCCAAACCCTCAGCAAATCCGTGGCCAGATTCAATGCCGAGACAGCCGAAGTGATGCCACAGTGCTCGCCTCAGGGTAGTTTAAGTCAGCAGGTCTTGGTTCAGGGGTGTTGGTTTGGGGTTGGAGAACGCGTCGGGGGCTGACTCTGTTTCGACAAAAGGAGAATCAGAATGGGACCCAAATCTAGATCGCCCCCCTTAGTAGGACCCAGGGCTTGCGATTTCCGGTTCAGTTTAGGTTTTGGAGGACATCGAGGAACAATGGGAGTTGCCAACGAAAGCTCCGTGATGTAGCACGGCGCTCATGCATGGTTTAGAGAGTATTATAGAGTTACAGTCAGAGTTCTACTAAGCTGTATTTTTGCTGGTGGCATGGCTGCGAGTCGGTGGGGGACAGCAGCGCCGCAAGAGAGTGAACCAAAGCCCTAAACCTTATGTAAGCCGCAAAGAACTTCGCACTAAAACTCTGCTGCGCTCGATAGTGACAGAATTACGAGAAAGTGAGATCCAACCGAGGGTAGAATTACGTTGCTGCTCGAATGCCTCAGATTTTTTGGGAGAGTGATGAAGATTAACGCCGCCCTTAAGGCCCGCGAAGTCCTGGACCCCGAGCGCCCAGTGAGCCCAGGCATGTGACTTTCTACAACTTGCTGGTGACGCTGATGATCTTCGTTTGGCACCTCCCCCTTCGCCCGTGTGCTGAACTAGGGGCGTTGGGCTTTTAGAGAGTGCGGCCCATGCATCAGGGGGCCTGAATCGTGGAGCTTCTTCCCCCGAAAACTTCCTTTGGGAACCGGGGAGGGAGGGGTGGAATGGACAGACTGGGCAGCCCTTGTATTGCGGACACCACGCGCGCGCACTTCTGGCTTCGCCGCTGTTTGCCCCAAAGTCGTCTTGCAAAGCCATACCGGGACAGGACTCGCTCACGCATTTTGGGATCATCTCGCCTTTCTCCTTCATAAGCCCCTGAAGCCGAAATCCTGATGGCATGAGACGTGGGGTCACCAGCGCAAGGGCCTGGGCCTTGGTAGACCTTTGAAGCAGTGGCCTGTCCTCTTGCTTTGCATCCAGCGATTTGGGTGGCCGAAACCTGTGAACCCCAACAAGCCTCCCGACTCCCGAAACCCGCCAGTGCATGATGCATGTGCCTCACCCGCAGTGCCAGTGTAGAGTGCCCCCCCTTTCACCACCCAAAACACCGGAACGCAAGCAGCCCAAACCAACCTAAACCATCCCTGACGCCCCAAGCCCTAAACTCTCAACAAGCCCTACGCCCCAAGCCACGCAGTCGCCTCCTTCAGGTCTGCGATGGAGCCACGAGGCGCCCAGACCTCCTATTTTTCACGCCAATTCTCCTTCAAAACCCAAGAAACAACCCTTCCAAGATACGAAACACGTAGCAGTAGCATCTTCTCGAACCCACGCCACAAGCCATAGCATCATCCAAAGCACGCCACCCGAGAATCTCTGCAAAGATCCAAAACACGGGCCAAAAACCAAAGCAATCTTCACCGGCTCCTTTACAGACCCAAGCAAATCCAAACGCCCCTGCATAGAAGACGGTTGCATGCCTTTGACCCTCATTCACTCAGAACTGCGCGCCTTCGACGGTGTCAGTGGCTACCGTCATCACAATTTCCTGCTGCGCTGTTGTCGCTGTCAATGTTGCTATCGCTGAAAGCAAAAATATTCGAGAGTGTGTAGAAGATGTAGCAATGCCTTTTATGTTTCAATGCTTCCTGCAGGAAAGGTCTGTGAGAAAGAAAGGTCAATGGTAAGCAGGATGAACCCGATGACCCGATGATCGCCTTGCAATAAATGAGACACGATGATGTTATGTACGGCTTTTTCTCAACTTGGATCAGCTCGCCTCTTAAACGTGCATGGAGTGCAAACCGTTCACACCCTCTGTGAAGCACTTGAAGACGAGATCCCTTGCTCAGAAGCTCCGCAGCCTTCCATGTTCCCGCAGGTTCGTTAATGTTATAGGCTGAGGCTAGGGTTGCACTGAGAGTCCTGGTAGAAAAGGACAAGCGGGATGTTTCGGGTTTTTCGGCGCATCCTTACTTCCTAAACCCTAAACCCTAAACCCTAAACCCTAAACACTAAACCCTAAACCCTCTCTATCATATATATATATTTAAACCTTCGGCCGATTTCGGCCAAACTGCCCCCCAATGTTCGGGCGATTTCGGCCAAACCACCCCCAATGTTCGGGCGATTCCGGCCAAACCCCCCCCAATGTTGGGGCGATTTCGGCCAGGCCGAAAAGCCACGAACATTGGGGCCCCCAGTGTTCGGGCGATTTCGGCCAAAACCCCCCCAATGTTCGGGCGATTTCGGCCAAACCCCCCCCAATGTTCGGGCGATTCCGGCCAAACCCCCCCCAATGTTGGGGCGATTTCGGCCAGGCCGAAAAGCCACGAACATTGGGGCCCCCAGTGTTCGGGCGATTTCGGCCAAAACCCCCCCAATGTTCGGGCGATTTCGGCCAAACCCCCCCCAATGTTCGGGCGATTCCGGCCAAACCCCCCCCAATGTTGGGGCGATTTCGGCCAGGCCGAAAAGCCAGGAACATTGGGGGTCAGATTGGCCGGAATCGCCCGAACATTGGGGGCCCCAGTGTTCGTGGCTTTTCGGCCTGGCCGAAATCGCCCGAACATTGGGGGCCCCAATGTTCGTGACTTTTCGGCCCGGCCGAAATGCAAACTCGGGCGCAAGGTTCTCTTTTGCCGGCTTCCAGGCCCGGAACGGCCCCGGAGCGGCTCCGGAGAAGCGCCCGGAACGAGCGGCTCCTAATCTGGAGTAAAATGAAAACCGTTTATTTTCTTAATGTTATGGGATTCTTTGGGCGGGTGGGTTTTTTCCCTAAGCCTGGAATGAATGCTAGAACAATGACCCTCTAGACCCTAAACCCTAAACCCTAAACCCTAAACCCTAAACCCTAAGCCCTAAACCCTAAAACCTAAACTAAACACGGGGGGCCGCCCCCCGTAAGCTGAACTTGTGAAGACTGGAGGAGGCCTTCCGAACTGCGACATCGAGCGGACTTGGCCATCAGACTGGCAGCCCTGGCGGCAGATTTGGTATGGGGTTTAGGGTTTAGGGTTTAGGGTTTAGGGTTTAGGGTTTAGGGTTTAGGGTTTAGGGTTTAGGGTTTAGGGTTTAGGGTTTAGGGTTAGGGTTTAGCATACACGCCTAAGCCAATATATGATCCCAACTTCAACTTCGAAGTGTATCAGGAAACCTCAAATTCGATTAGGGTTTAGGGTTTAGGGTTTAGGGTGTAGGGTTTAGGGTTTTAAGCGGACTTGCTTGGGCTGGAAAGCGCGCGATAAATTCTCTTGCATACAGCAGGCCCTCGAGAGCCTCTATACAATGCTCTATCCCGCGGACTCCTGCGGAGGCAAAAGTGTGGCCCACCAGGGGCGTGGCCCTTGCGCCACGACAGCCGGTTTCCAGGCTTTGCCTTTGTCGCTTATTGCGTCGGGCGCCATATCCGAGCCAGCGTAGGTGGCTCTGCACTTAGGCTGCTTGCGCAAATGCTCTGCCAAACGAGCCCCTGTCCAAAATTCTGTACAGCAGACCTCGCAACGGGTCCCAAAGCATACACGTCGTCCTGCCGAGTACAGCCTGTGTGTTGTAGCTCGGTGGACCGACAAACGCCTCTTCGACAGGAAACTACGATTGCAAAGATCGCAGGAGTGCGCGAGTCGAGGGTCCTTGGTCTTCACGATAGCAACTGCCACACCGGACCCCACTCGCTTGTCCACTTCCTCCCAGCAAACTTCGGGCCTCCGTAGACCGCGCTTGCGCAGGTAGAAGCGGCTGGCCACACGCAGCAAAGGTCGCTTTCCTCGCAGGGCGTCTGCGAGCGTCGCCAGATCAGCTGTGGTCGGCAGCTTCCGAATCAGGGCATCCAGAGGCTTGTGCACGGAAGCGACCTCGAAGAGTGACGTCCTTGCAGCAGCCAGCCAGACCCCATCGGCCTCCAAGCCTGGCCAGGCTGGTTCCATGCCCTCATCCGTGATCTCGCCAAGTGCCCGAATCCTCGCAGAGTGCAAAAACTCTTCTGGACTCGCTACTTTCAGAGCGGACAGTACCTCTGCGTTCGTCATCCGTTCTGAGCTACGCTTGTAGAACGGGCGGATACAGCCGCGGAATATGCCCATCAGCGGTGCGACGGCAGAGGAGCGCTCGTGACTTGTCTGCAGTCGCCAAAGACCAGCGCCATGCAGATACTTGGGAACGAGTCTGGACAAAACAAGCTCCCGTTTCTCGGCAAAGGTGAGGCAGGGATTGTGCAGAATGCGAGCCCGGTACACCTGAAAAGCCTGCTGCACTAAGCCTGCACGGTGCTTGATGTTGGCTAGCTCACTGCAGTCAGAGGTGCTGACACTGCCCGGACTCCCACAGCGGGTACTTCGCTGCAGAGGAGTTGTTGCCTTGCCGCCCTGGAGCCATTGCCCCGCAGTGCTACGAGGGCCTCTGTCTTCCCCGGGGCAAGGTTGGCTTCAAGCCCCAATGCCGAGAGCCCGAAAATGGCTAGAGAGCCGACTGCGCTAAGGGCAGGCGCTACGGCATCGGCCTGTCCTGAAAAAGAATGGCAACATCATCCGCCCAGGTTGGGGCCTCGGTGCAGTGCCTGGGCTTAAATCCCTGCAACAGGTGTGGCGAGAGTCCCTTGTCGCGCAGGGTGGCCTGCACGTCATTGAGGAAGCGGCTGAAGAGAAAGGCAAAGATGGTGTCTGCGATGGGCGCACCAGGAGCAGATCCGGACTCTGTCGCGTAGAGCGTGAACCCTGGGCTGCCGTCCGCGAACCACGTCCTATGCAGTTGCGCCGCCAACAAACGGTGGAGCTCCGTGGGAAGGCCCAGTGCCTTGGCCCAATCCGCTCGAAGCATTTCCTCAACGAAGGCATCCTGATCTTTGCGATATACGAAAAGGAGGGCGGCTCGACTCTGCAACTGTTCAGCGCTCAGGCTACAGCACTCTCCTCTGGTCAGCAAATCTCTGACCACGGAGTAGTAGGCATCTTTGCAGTCCAGGAAAAGGACTCCCCCGCTGAGGCCGCGGGCTTGCAACCAAAGCAGGTGGCTCCTTACAAGGGCTGAGGGTTGGGACAAAGTGCGGCGTGGTAGTCCCCCCACCTGTCCTGATGCCTTAACGTTTTCTAGCTGTTCAATGAGCTTCGGCCGTATGGCTTTTTGGTAAGCCTTTGTATCGGCCTCCAACAAAAGGATCGAGCGCCACCCCCCAAGCGTAGAAGCATCTTTGTTGGGTTTGGGGATGGAATGCATGTTGCCCCCGCACCACTGCAATGGGCTGGTGCCCCGAGCATGACAGGCAGAAAAAGGATTCCCGCTTGTACCGGATCGGCTTGATACGCTTCCGCCGGCACTCCAGAGCGCCCACACGCTCTGCCGGCTTGGAGGGCCTTGAAACCCCGCACCAGGTCGGCGAGTGTCAAGAGGCTGCGCGGCGGTTGCCGTCCGACGTAAGTCGTCAGGCGCTATCGAGCTGGCCCGCTCAGGCCTGGCAAAGTGCTGGCCAAGCTGCTTCGTCACTTCGACTCGCCCTACGGCTGGCCCTGTCGGAGTCTGCAGCAGTGGGATAACCTTGGGCACCTTGAACCTCCTTCCCTGGCGTGTCACAGCTCGGATCAGATGTGCGAAAGCGGCCGGACCCGCCTCCCGAGCTGTGGCGGTTTGGGTGCGGATAAACTGCACCTTATCCGCCTGAAAACAGTACCGGACCCGCCGGTTCAGCCAGTGAAGCTCAATGACATTGTCCACGACCTGCGCTGATATCCGCCTGAACTGCTCCACCGGAGAGCGGCGGCCTTGCCAGGCGCGGAAAACACACAGAAGTGCCGCCTTGCGCTCCTGCTGGCTAAGTGCTCGGAGACGCAAGCGTTGCAGTCGTCTGCGTTGGACTTCTTCAAGGGTGGCCTCTGTGAGTGCCGGGTGTCTTGGCGGCGCTGGCGCAGGGGGCAGATTAGCCGAGACAAAGGTCTGGAGATGCGCGTGCAACGCCTCGACATGGCTCGTCGCGTCCACCTCCCACCCTATGGTGGGCGCGGTGTGCAGCGCCTGTCGTACGACCGAGAGGCCGTATTCCGTGCGCACTGCTTGCTGGCAGAGCCGCGACTTGGGCTTGCTAGCAGCGCCTGTTACCCTCGCCTTGAAGGTTGCTGCCACAGGGCTGTGGTCGACACCTGCGCGGAGATCCTTTAGGTCGGGCGTATCCTATGTCCGTCCGCATACTTGTAGCTGCAGCAAAGGTGGCATCAAAGAGGATGTAGTCAATGAGCCCTTTGCGGCCTGGGGGCTGTGCCAGGAAATCAGGCGCTTCCCTGAATGCGAGAACTGGTGGGTCACCTCCAAGCGGAATTCGGCTGCCAAATCCAACAGTTCCCACGCGTTAGGGCATCGCGGTTGTGAGCTGGTGGTAGCAGGCTCCGTCGGCGAGCTTTCAAAGCGGGCATTCGCGTCAAGAAAGAGGATGGGCGCGTAGCCTCGCGGAGGAAGGCGTAGCGCTTGCGCTAGAGAGCGCCACCGCTTCGTGCGAACATCGGGCGGGGCAGCCGCCACGGGCGCATGTCCGCTGACCAAGCAGAACTTAACTCCGCCGGCATGTGCAAGTGCAACTAAGAGTTGCGGCTCGGCCCAAACGATGGAAAAACTATCCCTATCCCAGTATCCCGGCTGTCTTCGCTGCGCGGAGTAACTCACCGCCTGGGAACGGTGCAGCCAAATCTGACATCCTCCGATGCCTTCAGGTGTGGCCGGCGAGCTTAGAACCCAGTACTTGCCACTGGCACTGACGCCTGTCTCATTGGTTCTTGTCTCTTGAAGTCCGGCAGCATGGCATTTGAGCGCGTCAAGCCCCCTGGCCATGATTTCCTAGCCAGTGCCCGACAGGAACAAGTCCAGAGCCAGTCCACATGACCCTCGCGTACCCCCTGCCAAAAGCAATTCGGCATGAAAGCCAGTGCTGGGAATGCGGAGCCCAAGGCAGCAGACTTGGCTACAGCGTCCGCAAGCTCATTGAAGGAACCTGCGTGGGACGTGACTTTAAAGGGGAAAACGGGCAGCCCTTTGATTCGGCATGCACATCCCAAGCTGACCGCGGCCGCCCCAGCCGCGTCATCAGGCCGCATCGCAGCGCTGCCGAAAACGAGATCAAGCGCCGCGCTGCAGTCAGCTGCGATGAAGCTCTGTGCCACAGGGTTTTGCAGGCAGAACCCCAAGGCATGAACAATAGCTCGAACCTCTCCATCGTACGCAGCCGTTGCGTCGGGAACAGCACCTCCTAACCAGCCCACCCTAACGGGAACACCGCCCTGCAGTCCTAAAACTACAACCGACCAACCCCCTAGGCCCTTATCGGCGAAGAAAGAGCCGTCAGTGAAGTAGTAGCAGGCTTGAAGGGGAAGATGGCGCTGGAAAGGTGCAAGGGACTGCCACCCTTGGCGGGCCACTGGCAAAAGGAAATGGATCGCATCCAAACCTTGGGCTAGGCTGTCCCACGAATGCTCATGCAGAATGTGCTGGCCAATTTCCGGAATAAGACGATCCGTTTCAAGTCCTGGACAGCATCGGCACATAGGGCCTCGGCTTCCTTCTGCGGAGGCTCAATATGTGTCGGTTCTTCTGTCCTGATCGGGATGGGCCTTCTGCCAAGTGGAGTAGGCGCAACCAAACGCACCCCGGACTCGTGGGATGACTCCGGGGGCGTCACGCAGGCGCGCTCGACCAGATCTTGTGTGCCTTGCGCGGTAGCAGAGTCAGGCTGTCTTTCGCTCTCAGTGCTCCCTGGACTGTCCGGAATGGACGGTGTGGGGGGCCTGGCAAAGGGGAAAAGGTACTGCAAAGGCATTAGCCTGTCCGGCAGAGGGTCACTCACAGGCCCATGTGCGTCTGTCAAGAGTAAATGGCCGGAGTGCAAGATGGCAAGATAGCGCTCCCCAAGCCCGTCGCAATGGAAGGAAGCGGGGCGTGTGCGGAGAAGGGTGTGCCCCAGGTCGGACCAGGTCGACCGGGGAGCAACATGCGCAGTGCAGACCGCTCCGCCACAATGCCGCGGCCATCATGCGACGTTGAGTCTTTGCAGGCAGGCTGATGTTCCACGGGGATTGGTAATGTGGCGCGCCGGAGATCGACGCCATCGCCTTGCCTGCTCTGGTGTCAAATCCACATCAAAAGCGTCTGTGCGTGGCCCCGGACCCGTAGGCAGCGTGCTGTTTTGGCCGATCGGCAGGTCCATCCACTCGCCAAAATCCGAGGAAGGGAAAAAGCAAGCGAACCAAGGCCGTCCTGGCACCGGCCTCGAGTGTGCATCGTCAATGGGCGCAATGGTACGCAACGTGTCAGGGAGAGCGTAGTGTGGCACACGGAAGAGCACAGGCATCGTGCTGGTAACGCTCAACCTCAGGTATTCTTGCTGCGCGTCAAGGTCGGTGGGACCCAGCAGGTAGACGTGTCGGCCATTTAGGACACCGTTGGTTTGATGCAATCTTGTCAGCGGGGCCCGGAACTGGGCCCATTTGCAAAGCCAGGTCGCAATGTCCTCTAAGCTTCCAGCCCCGTGGACAGGTACCACTGTGAAAAACCCCTCGCCTACGACAACAGCCTGTTGGTGCACCTGTGCGTGCCCTAGGTCGCCGAGGCGTTGGATGATATGCTGCTGCCAATCACGAGCAGTGGTGTCAAGTGGTGAAGCCTGGCTGCCAATCGGCGGCGGCAGTGGGGTCATGCATGCCGCAATGCCCGGCAGCCGGTCCAGGAAATATCCGACTGTGCGAATATCGGGTGCCTCACAAAAAAAACCTGGTGCCACAAAAGAGCCAGAAGGGACCTCCCTAAAGCCTGTCCAACGTGCGCCATTGAGGAACCAGCCTTTGATGCGTGGATCAACAATGGGTAGCGCCTCGGTGGTACTTCTATATGGCACAACCATAAAAACAAGGCTGTCGAGGGGCCGCCTATCCACCCAAACCCAAGAACCCCTATGGGCCTGTGCCGGCACCAGGGTGAAAAGGAGCTCCCTGAAAGCAACCCTCTGCTCTGGCTGGCAGGCGTTAACCAGAACATGGAAGCCTGCCAAGGCGGCCCCTTTTCGTGCCGCAGCCTGCCACAAAGCCGCAAGGATCTGTCCTAGATCAGGGTTGCCTATGAATTCAATCGAAACAGCCCCGAACTCCGGAATGCCAAGGCGGCAAATCAACGGGTTTCTAGGCGGTGGCATGGGTTGTGGTGGTAGTTGTGGTGGGCGGGGTGGTGGCCGCAAAATTCATGAGCAGCTGCCTGAGGCCAGGGAAGTGTAGGGCAGTACTGACAGTATCGTGAGTCGCATGCGCTGCTGGCTGCGAGAGTGCTAGAATGCCCCCCTTTGCGGCAAGCGACAGAATGAAGTCAGTAGGTGGATCCGCTAGAGCCGAATCAAGCAGAAATTGCCGCACGCTTGCCAAGATGCGCTGCTCGACCTGGGGCAAACTCCGATCAAAGGGTATGGCAGCAAAAGCGTGCGGAGTCTGTCCAAAAACCCCACGCAGGTCTGCAAGAACAGCTTCCACGCAGGCTGCAGCTCCCTCGGCGGGGAGCATCATGCAGTGCAGATCAACTCCATGCATGTGCGGCTGAAAGGGCAAAAAGTGCGACCGCCACTTGCTTACCCCCGTCTCCCTAGCAAGGTGGTTGGTGGCAGCCTGGATGATCTGTGCATGCGTGGCAATGCGCGGGAAATGATCAACTCGCACAAGCCTCCCTGGGGTATGGAACGCAATGACAAGATCGCCTTGATGCTCCTCGTAGGGGATGACAGCAAAACATGCCGTTTCACTATCATTCGTGCTGGCGGTGGCTTCCGTGCTGCTCGTTCCAGAGCTGGGGGTTGTCAAATACAACATGCGTCTGCGCTGCCAAAGCAGGCGTCGGGAAGAGGATCCCTGGCATGAATGGGTCAGTGCATGCACGGCTGAGACTATTTAGACTGATCCTGCCTCTTGCAATGTCAGGCGCAAAGCGCCGTGGCGGTCCTGGGCATACTTGTGTAATGCGCAAGGCGACTTCGTAAGATGACGCATCATCTGGAATTGCCAAAGTGCAAAACTCCCTTCCGAGCCGCCTGAGGTCGACGGGCACAGGGAGCCGCCCTGGAGTGACGTGTGCTGCCCGTAGGACCAGTTGCAGGGCAGGGAGGCCTTCAAAGGCCGGCTTGAGCGCCGAGACAGCTGTAATGGGACCATCAAGAGATGCCTTCACAGCATCCTGGATCACATGCAGGATATCCCATTGTGGCCGCGTTCCGCGACTGCAGGCCCAGTACGCCCGAGTACGCCCAAGTACGCCCGAGTACGCCCGAGTACGCCCGAGTGCGCCCGAGTGCGCCCGAGTCCGCCCGAGTGCGCCCGAGTGCGCCCGAGTACGCCCGAGTACGCCCGAGTACGCCCGAGTGCGCGCCGAGTACGCCCGAGTGCGCCCGAGTACGTCCGAGTACGCCCGAGTACGCCCGAGTACGCCCGAGTCATACCCGGTCATACCCGGTCATACCCGGTCATACCCGGTCATACCCGGGCATACCCGGGCATACCCGGTCATACCCGGTCATACCCGGTCATACCCGGTCATACCCGGGCATACCGGGTCATACCCGGTCATACCCGGTCATACCCGGTCATACCCGGTCATACCGTCCCGTGGTTTTCCGCAGTCGCGGTTTCCCGTCACAGTGGGATATCCCGTTCGGGTCGGATTCGTCTCAGCCTAATATGCCCAACAGTGTCAACGAAAGCATATGCCTCCTCTCTGGCGGCGCCCGCTTGAAAGACATCAAGCTGATTTAGGGGCACAGATGAGGTCACACTCAGCAATGCTGTGGAAGCCCCTTCGGAAAGCGGAATCATGCATGTCCATATCGCCTGGCGACGACACAAGGGCGGCATTCCATGGACTTGCTTGCAACGGCCTGGCAGGTGCCCCATCCGCATGCCTATACTGAATTGCGCCTTTGCGGCCGTCCCATTGTGCCCCTTTGCAGCAAGGAGTGGGAGGCGAGTGCGGCCGCACGACAAGACCGCTCGGGTCCTTGGAAACAGTGTCAGGCACAGATGCAGAGACACAGGGGCAAGGCAAAAAGTGACAGGCTCCCGGAGGAGCTGCAGGGCTCGCAGGAAGGTGCTGACGTCTTAGTGCCCTGAGCACCCTAATGGACAGTCGGGTTGAAAGCTCGTCCAAGGGGGACGGCTTCCACCCTGCACTTTCGCTAAAACGCACAAGTTTGGGCAAAGCACCTTTAGCACAGCGAGAAGTCTTGGTGGCTTTGCAGATGCATCCCTTGCTTTGCGGGTGATCTCCTCTTGAGAAGAGGGGCACAGTGCAGCGTAAAAAACCCGTCCTATTAGAGCTAGGAAGAGAAACCTCACTAACTTCAGCATCAAAAAGCCTAGGGTCCGAAATAAGCTGTACTTCAAAGTCCCTGGCAACTTCGTACTGAAGACTGAAACCAAGCAACGTGGCGTGTACTGGATGGACACAGTCACTCTCATTTGTGACTGAATGAAGCAGCCCGAGGGTAGGCGCCCGCTGTGGCGTATCTAGCCTCAGGCCTTGCCAGGGGGCGGCTTCTTCTGCCCATCTGCCTTGTTGTCCTCGTCGTCGACGTTCACCACCTCCACTGCCTGGTCCGTTGCGGTTGCAGCTTTGCGTCGTGGAGTTCTTTCTCGATCCCGCTCCGCAGTCTCTGCTTCCGTTTCTGCCTTCACGCGTGCCGCTGCCACTGCGTCCAGGAGAGAGCGCGCGAAGGCTTGATGCTGTGCCCGCTGTTGTCTCAGGGCTTGCTCCAGCTGCAGTTGGTTGCCAACTTTCTCGTCTTGCGCCACTGCAACCGCATCCTCGAAGGCCTCCGCATCGATGCCTTCCATTCCGGCCAGATCGGTGCTTCCCCCGACCTTGTTTTGCAAGGAGGACGGTGCTTCTGCCAAGGCGGCCGCCCACTGCAGTTCGCCCTCGTCCAGCTCGCCCAGCACCTTCTGTTGATCTTCGATCTGCTTCTGTAGCATTTCCTGGATCTGTCCAAGATAGGTGCTCCATCCAGCCAGGTAGGTTGCCCTCGCCGTTCGCACTTTGGAGAGCTCCTTGCGAGCTTTCTGTTGGGCCGAAACGGCCTTGTGGAGGAATTTGGCCTCCTCCTCCGACTCCTGCAGCTGGTGCGTCTCCAGTAACGCCTTGAGCGTCTCTGGCAGCTTGTCCTTGGTCTGCTCCATGGCTTGTACCAGCTGCAAGCGTGCTTGTTTCTCCTGCGAAGGCGCTGAGGTCGATGTCGCCGATCCAGTAGCCTTTGCAGAGGCCAGTGCTTGTGGCGGAGCTGGTGGCGGTGGCACCTGTCGGATTGAAGGCGCCGCCCATTCTCCCGGCGGAGGCCCAAGAGGTGCTTGCTTCGCAGCCCCTTTGCCCCCCTTGTCTCGTCCTTTGCCGCCGCGGTCCTTGCCCTGCGCTCCCTTCAATGCCGGGGTTTGCACAGTTGCATTCTCGGCCTGCCCACGCCTCCTCGGTGACCTGGGCGATGGTGCAGCTCTTCGTCTCGGTGAGGTCCACGGCGCCGTGTAAACTTGTAACGAGCCCCCACACACCGAGCAGAAAGCTGCCTTTGCCGACCGATTGGTAAAGCACTGATTGCACCATGAATGGCTTGCCATTGTGCCCGTTCGCTGTAGTCCCGCCCAATGAAGAGCTCGGCCAGGTAGAACGGACTGGGAATGATGGCCCTGCAGAAGTTTGCAGGCCCTGAGGATCGCGGCCGTGCTGGGCCTCGCTGGCTTGTCCAAAGTCCTGAGCTGTGTTCTCGCCACACACCTCTGTCTCCGACGCCTGCGGTGCCAGGCCGGCTCGGAACGAGCCGTCGTTCCCAGAAAACTCGACAGCCACCCACAGAAAAAGTCCCAGAAAGGCTGCCAGCCGTCCAAGAAACATATACAGGGGATTGGCAATAGGTCCACAATGAACAGCTATTGCAGCAGGCGCCACTCTGCACTAAAAGGCGTGATTCCGTCCCGTGCGCAACTACGGGTATGCGCAGTAACCAGACTCCGCTAGGGAGCGGCTCTTAAGCGTGCACCTCCAGTTATGGTACAGTGCAGGCCAGTGAAAGTCGTGGGCAATTTAAACAGCCGCACTAGGGTTTCCAGGCAAATGGCGTGTGGACTCCAAAGAGAAACTACACAACACCTTAAGCCAGAACGCCTAGGGTTTAGGGCTTAGGGTTACACTTTTGAAGCCTTGTGCAGGGACCCGACACCACGGTTAGTATGGTGCTGCTTCTGACGTGGCCTTGCCACCACCACGCTCCTGACGCAAGCCCAAAGTGCGTCAAGCTACAAGACGAACATCTGACCTCCGAAGGCCCAAAAGCCCTGGACCTTGCAGCCCTACAGCCCGCCCCCCCCATTACAGCCCCAAAGTCGAAAGCCTCAACCCCGCAAGTCGCTGAGTCAAGGCATCTGGCTTCGCTGTTGACAGCGCTGGGGGGCCTATGAAGTCCAGAGGTCGCAGCTGCTGTGAACCTGTTTCGCCCCGTCCGACTTAAGCCCCCCCAAAGGCAGCCGCTTACCGGTGCAACCCTTGAAGCAGTCGGACCGGAAGCCCGGAAGCCCGAAAGCACGGAAACCCGGTAAAGAAGAGACGACGCCCGATTCATTCAGCCCCCAAATAGTCCAAAACCGCAGCAGGCCCTATGTGCCATGGCTCTGAAGCCCGGAGGCCCTTAAGCCCTCAAGTCCCATAGTCCTGAAGCCTTGAAGCCCCATAGCCCTTATGTCCCAACATTCAGGCAACTCAAGCCCTGAAACCCTCATACCCTGGTCGGTCTAGGTTTTAGGGTTTGACGCTTCGAGTGCCTGTGCGAGAGAGAGAGAGAGAGAGAGAGAGAGGGTTTAGGGTTTAGCTGGAAACTTGTAGACTCTTACATCCCCGAGGACGGGCTGGGACCCCGGACCGTGAGAGGCATTTTGCCCGAGAACCTCGTAGAGCCACCGAACTCAAGTCAATGAAGACTCCTAGTGTTCACAGAGACGAGGCGTGCCCGGTGTGAGTGCCACCTGAAGAGAGCCTTTTCGAGGCCGAACGCCACGTTGCCAAGACCCGGGCGCTACCTCCATTCCGAGGTAGCGGTGGAGGCCCTGATTAGGGAGGTAGGCTGTTCGGGGTTGAGGATTTGGGGTTAAGGGTACGAGTAGGTGGCAAACACTTGGTGTTCCATGACTGCCTATGCGACTTCTCAGCTTTCTGCAAGCGGGGTGGCTCCAGATTTCATAGGGTTTTTGAGTGGGGGTTTGGTGATACTTGCCCCAAACCTGGAATAGAAAGTCCTCTCTCTCTCTCTCGCTCGCTCGCTCTGCGTCCTTCCCTCTCCGTTCTTGCAACATGCGTCACCCCCAGGCAACCACCCAAAAAATCTGAAAGCCCACAATCTTACTTCTCCCTGAATCACAGAGGATAAGCCGAAACACACTGCAGCAGATTCATTCCATCAATCTTAAACAGGCATGGTTCGGACCACGACCCCGTTTTGATTCACGTCAGCAGTCTTTCTCCGAGCCCTTGGGACCCTAAACCCTGCACCCTAAACCCTAAACCCTAAACCCTAAACCCCAAAAAAACCCTATAAATCCCTAAGCCCTAAATTTCCGGGCTTGCGCGTTGGCTGACAGCCGTGCGGCCGCTGCGCGCCCCCGTGGCTCAAGCTTTGCTTCCCGCGCGCGTGCGGGAGCGCAACCGAAGCCTTGTTTTAGGAGATGAGGGTTCAGGGTTTGGGGTTTTACTGCGTGTAAAGGTTTTAGGAGCAGACGCTTTTCACCATTCTATCGGCATGTCAAAAGCCACCGAAGTTGCGGAGTGAGAGCGGGACTCATCCAAAATATCTGAGGCACCAGGGTGCCGCGAGCCCAAGTATCTCAGAAGGCTGCTTTGTTCTCACCTCTCAAGCCACCTCCTCAACCCCTACAGATGAATCAGCCCCTGAGTCTTCTAAATACCCGGAAGCCGCTGAAGGAATGGAAGAGCCATGAAAACCCTGGCGCCATGTTGGAGTCCGCGCTGGAGAATATCCTGCTGCAGTACCTGGCGCCGTACGTCGATGGCATCACCAGGGACCAGCTTTAGGTAGTGACCAGAGAACCCAATACGAACACCAACAAGTCAAGGAACATGCTTTAATCATAGCACAAAGGGGTCCTGTGGTATTCTGGTTTTCAAGGTATATTCCGTAATCAAAAGTATCGGGCTGTTTGGGTGCGCATCTGAGCCATATGAGGTTCACTACAGCCCGTAGTTTGGCAGCTACCCCAAAACTACGCCCACGATCTAGATCGACCACTGCTGGCAGAGTGGCGTCACCGCGCTCGGTGCCCCTAAGCCCTGATTTCGAGTATATACCCTTAGCCCCAGTGCCTTTGTGAGGATGGTCCTGAGCATGCTCCAAAACGCGTTTAAGGCACGCCCTAGAAGTCCAAGTCCAACAGCCCCCCCTCATTCCCCCCCTGCCTCCTTTCAAGCCAGGGTCCGCTAGGCGGTAAACCTAAACCCGAAACCCTGAACCCTAAACCCTAAACCCTAGACCCTAAACCCTAAACCCTAAACCAAACAGCCCTGCAAGGACTCGCTGCACCTGGGGGTCTTTAGCGGCTCCCTGGAGCTGGACAACCTGAAGGCAAGTTAGTTTTGAGGCTTAGGGTCTAGGGCCTATAGGGTTTAGGGTGCCGGGTTTAGGATTCAGGGTGTAGGGTTGGGGTTCACGGGTACTTCTAGGTGGGGTTGTAAGTAAGTCGGGTAGCGGTAGTACTCCTGATTCTTCCTCCAAGTCGGTGAACTGAGCCCTGGCGAAACATGCATGTCTTGTTCATGAGGTTCTCAGGCAACCTAGGCACAAAGTACGGTTTCGGCTTCTGAAGGTATTGAGAGTGAGGGCCCCTCTCCCTCCCGCAACCTGGGAAGCCTCGTGTTCAGGGTTCAGGGCCATATAAACCGGCTTATGGGGTTTAGGGTTTCGGGTTTAGGGTACAAGTTTACAGAAATACTTCGGGGTTTCTAGGACCATGGGGTAGGGCGAAGGGAAGTGTAGGAGTTTAGGCTTGAGGGTGTGGAGCCTCTCACCTGTCTCCTGGCGTTGCTGTGGTAGGCACTGTAGGCTCGGGGTCCACAAGGCTTCGTGTTTTTCTCTACGGTTTGGGTACACGAAACCAACGTGCTCCCAGCGAAGCGCTCGAGGGCCACACTCCTCCCCACTAAACCCCAAACCCTAAACCCTACACCCTAAACCCTAAACCCTCAACCCTAAACCCTTCTGGGAGCCTGTGTGACAGGTGCGCCCAGATGCTCTGGCGATTCTCGGCCCCCTCGCCTGGATAGCCTGGCGGTTCAGGCTGTTGTGTTTGTTCTAGAGCTTAGAGGTTTAGGGTTTACGGCTTTAGGGTTTAAGGTTTTTAAGGCTGTGAAAGGGTTCCAGGACATTCAAACCCTAGCAAACCCTTAACGATCCGAGGGCTGTTGCCCTCTGATGCTGATGGAAAAAAGCCACTTAACACCCCAAACCATAAAACCACCCTAAACCCCAAACCCTGCACCCAAACCACCACTCTAAACCACCCTAAACCCTAAACCCCGAGAGTCACGAGCTCCTAGGTTTTCCAGGCTTCCGGGTGCACGCTGGCAGCATCGATCGGATTTCGCTGTCCATTCCCTGGACCAGGCTCTACACGGGCAGCGTGACTGCACGCCACGATTTTGTGCCTGCAAGGTTTTTGGGGTTTCGGCTTCAGGCGCGCAAGTAGAAGGTTACCCTGGGATTAGGATGAATGCTGACCTTCCTGTTTCAGGTCCAGTTCATGGCAGATCGAGGCATGTAGGAGGGTCTTCTGGCCAAAAGGTCTTCCAGTGAGGGATGGGAGTTGCGTGGCCCTCTCCTGGAGCGCATCCAAGGAAAAGTGCGGGCCATCATCAAGTGCATGCGCCACTGGTCACACAAAGGTATCGTCATAGAGTCCATTGGCTGACCCTCCTGGTATTTACGGTATGTTGCCTTTGTCAATTGGAAGGCAGATTCAAAGGTCCTCAACCTAAGGTGAAGCCACAGCCCTTCATAGACCTGTGATACCCATAGAAGACAATAGCCCCCTTGAGCCGAATACACCCAGGGATGATTGAAGTGATCTCGTATTCGGATCGCGCATGATCGCGCTGATTGTTCATGGACTTGTAGAATCCAGCCATCGCCGCATTCCGAGGTCCACGAGCATTCTCACGCAGTCCTCTTTTTGGGGTGCACGTGTCGCAGGACAAGCCGTATAGTTAAGGCCTAGAACTTAGAACAACCCCCATCCCGTGTGCAATCTGGATCGGTTGCAAAAGGCACGAGTCTGCAACGTGTGGGATCTTCTGCAAGACTGCTCGGAGCCGAGGCCTCGAGATTGAAAGCCTGGCGGAAAGTTGCCATGGCAAGAGCGAGGCGGGTTTGGAGGGGTTGGAGGGCGAAGGGTTTAGGGTTTAGGGTTTACGGTTTCGGGTAGGCTCGCGATGCTGGGCGTGGGGGTGAAGTTCCGGAGGGCTAGGGTGTAATATAGGGTCGGAGTAGTTACTAGTATCATTCCCTTACAGTCTCTTTGTAGTTATACAAAAATAACTCCCCAAAATCAGTATTCAGGCCCCTATATTAGAGTCAGCCCAAAGCCCCTAAACCCTAAACCCTAAACCCTAAACCTAAACGGTTAAAAAAAAAAAAAACCCTAAACCCTAAACCCTAAGCCCAAAGCCCAAAGCCCAAAAGCCCAAAAGCCCTAAGCCAGGAGGAGCTCATCAAAGAGATGCGCGCCGCCAAGGAGAAGGTCGAGTTGCCATGTTGCAAGTCCCTAAAGCACCCAGAGTTTACACCCTTCGGGTTTAGGGTTTAGGGTTTAGGGTTTTGGGTTTTGGGTTTAGGGTTTAGGGTTTAGGGTTTAGGTCTTGAAAAGGAGGCCGTCCCAAGCCCCCAAAGCTCGACCCTGACTGAGCTTGAAAGCCGAAGCCTGCCAGTCGTTTTACACTTCGCGTAGAAGCAGGTGTATTCCAGTATCTACGTTCCCGCCAAATCTGGCAGAGGAGGACTTGGTCTTGAGGAGGAAGTCCAGTCCCCTACATGAAGGAATGAAGCCCGCAACTTCTGCTACTAGGGCTCCTTATGCAACAAAAACAAGGATAGCCCTAAACCCTAAACCCTAAACCCTAAACCCTAAACCCTAAACCCTAAACCCTAAACCCTAAACCCCTAATCAACCCATAATGGCATCTCGGGGAGCCCCTGAAACCAGGCCATCGACGTCCAGATGCAGTATCTCCAGGACTTGATCGACCGCAGCAAGGCCCGTGGCCTCTGGGTGCCCAGAGCTGGGGGTTTAGGGTTTAGGGTTTAGGGTTTAGGGTTTAGGGTATGTATATAGTTGTACAAACGTACATATTTCTTTTCGTATTGATATTCGGCCCTCCGCCAAAAATGGGGCTCACAGGGCTTCGGGCTGTGCGGTAAGGGTACCCGAAACCTGAGTTATAGATGTTTACAGTCCGAGTCAAGGAAGACTGTACAGAATGAGGAGCAGCTTTTCAGTTCAGAAGCTCAAGCGGTTTCTTCGGAACGGTTTAGGGTTTAGGGCTTAGGGTTTAGGGTTTAGGGTTGAGGGTGTATAGGATTTAGGGTTCAGGGTTCAGGGTTTCGGTGCGATTCGTTCAGCAGGACAGCGAGGATGAGAACGCTGTGAGCGACAATGCCAGCCCTTGGACAGCACCGCCGCAATCACGCAACCTGTACCCTAAAAATAAGGGTTTAGGGTTTAGGGTTTAGGGTACAGGGTACATCTTGGGATGTTCCCCCTTAGACCAGTCTCCCCCTTAGACGAGCAGTCCCTAAGAAATTATTGTACCCTACACCTAAACCCTACATCTTGGCATGTTCCCCCTTAGACTCAACAGTCCCTAAGGGATTCTAGTACCCCCTATTGCAATCCCTACTAAGGGCTATGAGTATAAGGGGGACCCCCCCCCCCCCCCCCCCTAAACCCTACATCACCCTCACACTCCAAAGAGGGAAGTGTCGAGGCTCCCGTTTGCTTGCGGCTTCGTTTCGCGCGCACACCACTGAATAAGCAGACCATAGGCGCAGGCTAGCCATGGAAGGCCCACTTCATGTCCAACCCTCAACCCCCAAAGTCTAACCTAATAGATCCTAGGCCCCCAGTGAGGGTACTTTTTGTTCAGAGATAGGGTTCCCCTTTACCCCCACAAGGGCCGCCTAGGTCGCCTTTCGGCCCCCTAAGCCGCGGCTCAAGAAGTTTAAGAAGGTCTGGGCATGAACCTCGCGCGGAAGATCATCAACAACATCACCGTAGTTCTGGAGGCCAGTTCCCCTTCTCCACAAACCCGAAACCCTAAACCCTGAGCCCTAAACCCTAAACCCTAAACCCTAAACCCTAAACCCTAAACCCTAAACCCTAAACCCTAAACCCGAAGCCACTTGCAATGAACACGGAAACCATGGGTCTCAAGTCTCTCCCAAACCCTAAGCCCCCTTCAACCTCCGGCTTGCCGGGGAGCCCACACTTGGAGGATCATGGGTGCTTCTATAACCCCAATGAGGGTTAGGGGTTTAGGGTTTAGGGCTTCGGGTTTAGGGTTCAGGGTTTAGGGTTTAGGGTTTGGGGCTTGGGGTTTGGGGTTTAGGGTAATAACCCCAATTAATAATTGGTAATTTATAAGTCGACTTGTAACCTACTTAGGGGGCTTAGGGGCTTATCAGTGCAGGCCTAGTTAGGGTCATAAGTACCCATGAACCTCCAAGTCCAAAACCCTAAACCCAGCAGCGCTACCCATGAGCCTCCAAGTAAGAGCAAGCCAGGATGTACATATTGCCTTCATGAACAGCCAGCGCGGCCTTGCATGTTGCATGGAGCCTTGGCTGGATGTGTTAGGGTTCGGTAAAGGGTTTGGATTTGGGGTTTAGGGTTCAGGGTTTGGGGTTCCGGGTTCAACCCGGGTGTAGGGTTTAGGGTTTAAGGTTTGGGGTCGCGCAAGCAAGCTGCAATCTCCAACTGCAAGAAGCCCCCAGCCTCACCACATGGTGGCAGTTGGCTCGTGCCATGCTTGCAGAGGCTTTTACACCCTAAACCGTAAACCCGACCGACAGACCTTGCCTTGTGCGAGAGTGAGCGACTAAAGCCTAAACCCAGCTCAGGACTTGCCCAATTTGGCCATCCTCTCGACGGACAAGACCTTTCGCGAGCGGGAGGACGCCGAAGGCCACAGCGGAACATTTCAGTAAAGTAACTTGTTGGAGACATGGAGATCTGCAAGCCCAAGATTCCCAAAGCAAAGCCCCCAGAGCCAAAAAGGCCCATGTAAGAAATTGAAAAGCAAAGCATGCTAAGTATCCCTCTGCCCTTGAACCCTGTGCTTTTCGTCCCCTCAACCCTTCAGAGCCTCTCCTTGCCCCCAAAAAACCCTTCAAACTCTTCAATGCTTAAATAAGCTCGTAAGCTCCGCAAAGCCAAGCCCCAAAGGCGCGGTGGTGCCGGGGCAGTCGATGTACAAAACGCTGCAGATGAAGGAGGGAACAGGGTTTAGGGTTTGGGGTTTAGGGTTTGGGGTAGAGGGTCTAGGGTTTGAGGTTGAGGGTTGGCTAGGACCCCATGGGCTAGGGGGGTTTATGGAGGGTTTCGGGTTTTTGGGAACGGGGTTTAGGGGTTGCTCCTGATGCGACGCGTGGCGGCTGATGCTCATGATGCTGGTGGCTGTCGGCTATCGGTGGGACGAGGTGACTGCTGATGCTCATGATGCTTTCTAGCTAGTGCTCCCAAAAGGAGCCCTAATTTGGGTCCCTACGTAGGCGCCAACGCCTGGAGATACACTGGAGGCAACCCACAAAGGAATGCTGACGGCTTTGCGAGTGAGGTCTCTCCCAGCTTCCGGGGCCTGAAGAGGCCTGCCACTATTGAACTGAATGGTGCACCCCCTCATCAAGAAAGTCTGATTCTCATACCGAAGTGCAATAGGGATACACGAATTTGAGGCGTACCCTAAACCCTAAACCCTAAACCCTAAACCCTAAACCCTAAACCCTAAACCCTAAACCCTAAACCCTAAACCCTAAACCTCTGGGGTATGTGGTGCAGCTGCAGGACTTTAGCGTCCAAATGTCGCCTGCTGGCACCAAAGACCTGCAGGACCGCTGAGGTCGTATTCCTTTTTTTTGGGGGTGAGTTTGCTCTTTATTTGGTAGCACAGTGTGCGTGTGTATACGTGTATATATATATATATATTTATGTGTATCCTGTTATTCGTTTGTTGAGAGCTGATTTCGTTGGTGCATGAAAACTTTCACCCCTCCCTCCCCCACCTGACACTATTGACCTTACAAGTTTCCAGGTTTAGCTGTGGGGCTCGGGGGGTCTAGGAGCGGGGGGCCGCATAGAATCCCATGACACGAGAGCGCGTTGCCATGCCCGCATCCACTAACCCGAACGCATCGGCCATTGGGATCTTGAGTTAGGACCGTTAGGAAAAGCTGGACCCCGTTCAGCTTTGCTTCATGTCTGTGTTTTTCTATAGGCAGTGCGAACCCACTGGATATGCAGCAGGCAGCCACAAATAACTTAAACCCTGAACCCAAGCCCTACAACCCAACACCCTGAACCCGCGTTTTTTTTGCACCTCGTCACCCTGGACAGTAGAAAGAGAGGAGCCAACCCTAAAGCCTGAGCTGGTTCAAAGCCGGCCACTTGAAACCTTTTGGCTGCGGTGTTGGCAAGGGGTTCCTGGCTCTCAAACGTACTTCTTTGGCTAGGTGTGCTCTGCCTTCCATAGCCAAAAGCAGCTTGGTGAGGTCCTGATGGGGGAATAGAATCATGTGGAGGCTAGTGGTGGCGGGTGTCGTCATGCCTTGCGCGGTGACTTCGTATGAAGTAGGACGAGTCACGTCTCCGTTCTTCGATCTCTTCGTTACATTGACGACGGGCGTTTTGCATTCCTGCAGTGTGGTCAGTGTGGTTGCGAGGCTGCTAGGCCGGTGGCAAGAAAAACCCTTCTCCATCCAGGGTTCTGGCTGGAGGAGGCGGCCTACGTCCTGAGCCCTGTCAGCGCTAACCTGCAGTTGGCCCACGAGCCCGCGAACAACATCCTGTGCCTGGCCCGCAGGTTTTTTGGGTTTAGGTTTTTGGGGCCTTTAGGCAGGTTTGTAGGGTTTGGGGCTGTTAGGGTAGGGTACCCTATAGGGCTTCTAGGACACCCTGTTGCCCTGTAGTCATGTACCCGCCTCTATGCTACCCCCCCACTCCAAGATCGGATCCCCTGAGCCCCTCCTCAGACCAGCACCGCACCGGCGAAAGCAAAGTAACGCTAGTGCCAACCTCGTTCGAAGAAGGGCTGGGCCACGTGAAGCCAGGAAGATCAAGCTGATGGTCGCCACAGAAGAGTTGGCGGAGGTTTTTCTCCGGCGGTCTCAGGCAAGGGTGTGGGCTTTCGGGGTTTGGGGTTTTGGGGTTGCAGTGGGAGTGGGCTTGGGGGACTGGTAAGGGTTCAGGGTTCAGGCTTTGCCTCGCCTAAAATCTGCTTCAGGTGAAGCATCTGCGCAGCATCAAGAGTGCCTGGGACCTGCACGGATGATGAAGGACTTGAGATCAGTTGTTCGGCTCAGGGACGCTGCGATTCACTTAGAGAGCAGCTAGTTCTCTACTCCGGAGCTGGTTTGGTAGTCACTAGTAAGCCTAACAGGCTGGGAACCTCCTGCGCTTATGTTTGAACTACCAGGGCCATGCCACCGAACTAAAACCTTGTCGTAGAGGCCATTCCTCAAATTCTGTCTCGAACCTTACCTTAACAAACAAAAACCCCCCGTTCTTGTAGGCTATGTAACAATATCCCTTATGCCATTCTTAGGTAGCCTACACAATAATAAGCAGGCTTTCGTAGATCCCAAGATTCCAGCAAAACCGCTTTGGGCAGGCCGATGGTTTGGGACCTGTCGAGGAACTAGAGCTTCGTCCCTTGAGTCGGGTTCCCTAAACCCTAAACCCTAAACCCTAAACCCTAAACCCTAAACCCTAAACCCTAAACCCTAAACCCTAAACCCTAAACCCTAAACCCTAAACCCTAAACCCTAAACCCTAAACCCTAAACCAAGCTGGGCCCTCAGCTCCGATCTCTAGGCGACCTCAACGAAGAGGCGCGGAAGTTTCACCTGATGCTCGTCCCAGAGGCGGATCAGAAGGAGATCAACCAGGACCAAGACGCGAGCATCCAGTCTCAACTTCCGTGATGATGGTATTGATTCTGATTTCCCTGCTACACCCCAAAACCTGCGGATGGTTGGAAGATCCTTGCGAGGGTTTAGGGACAAGTGTTCAGAGTAATGTAGCACCAACCTCCCCCGCCCCGTTGGTGAATTTGTGACTTGCGCCGCGAGGACGCCGGCGATTCGACCGACGAGTACAGCAAACTGTACGAGCGCTCGATTGCCGAGGCGTCCCCTAAACCCTAAACCCTAAACCCTAAACCCTAAACCCTAAACCCTAAACCCTAAACCCTAAACCCTAAACCGTGCCCGCAATAGGGCCGGCTGTTTGGGTCGAGTGCAGGATCTTGGCATCGGGGGTGCACCCTCCCCGGCCCCCCTCCCCCACCCCCAAGGCCAGCAATGATTCAGGTGGACACTCCTATGATGCCTGAGCCCAGATAGGTTTAGGGTTTAGGGTTTAGGGTTTAGGGTTTAGGGTTTAGGGGTTAGGCCTGCCTTTTGCGAGAGTGAGAGAGGCAACCGACCACTTCCGGCTCCCCAAACCCCCCGTGGCGAAAGAAGCCGCGGCCCGCCCAGGCCTGGCAGATCATGTCACCGGACTTGCCCCTTGGGTCTGAGGTCAAGGGTAGGGTTTAGGGTTTAGGGTTTAGGGTTTAGGGTGTAGGGTGTAGGGTTTAGGGTTTAGGGTAGAGGGTTTAGAGGGTTTAGAGGGTTTAGAGGGTTTAGAGGGTTTAGAGGGTTTAGAGGGTTTAGAGGGTTTAGAGGGTTTAGAGGGTTTAGAGGGTTTAGAGGTTTTAGAGGGTTTAGAGGGTTTAGAGGGTTTAGAGGGTTTAGAGGGTTTAGAGGGTTTAGAGGGTTTAGAGGGTTTAGAGGGTTTAGAGGGTTTAGAGGGTTTAGAGGGTTTAGAGGGTTTAGAGGGTTTAGAGGGTTTAGAGGGTTTAGGGTTTCGGAGCAGCCAGGGAAGTTGCACGATTGTGAATCTCTAGAGCCAATGGAGTGTGCCGTGCCTGCCTTGTCCGAGTGTGAGCGATTAGCACCCCAAAACCCTAAAACCCCCAAAACCATAAAAGGCCCCAAAACCCTAAAGCCCTAAAACCCTACAACCCTATAACCCTAAAACCCTCGGAACCCCCAAAAAAAGCCAGCCCACATCTTCGGGCGGCCCCTATGCTTGAGGGAGCCGCTGTCGCCGGCAGACGAGCGGCGGAAGCAGTTGCTCGAGGCTGGGGATGGGAAACCATGGCGTATGTACGTAGGGGTTAGGGTTTAGGGTTTAGGGCTAGGACCCAGAGTAGGCCCTTATTCGCTTTTGGTCGTCTTATATGCCCCTTTCAACCGAAAAGGGCACCCTTCTTTATGCCTAGGTTACTCTTAGGGTCTAGTTCTGGTGTTTTGTGAGGCTCAGCTTGATTGCTCCCCACACCCCTCTTTTGTTAACTTTTACTCTTCCTTCCCCAGCGCTCTCTGACCATTTCAAGGCAGTTAACCCGGCGCCAACTGATGGCAGACAGAAGGGTAGTAAATTTAGACTACTGTGAGGGTTCTCATAGGTCAAGGCATGAGCTATTCCAGCTCAAAGTGACACTGCGGGCGCATCATCCGGACGTCTGGTGCAGCAGCAGCTCTTCTCGGGACACCATGTTCTGATTGCGCAATGACCCGTCGGTGCTGTGCCTAAACCCTAAACCCTAACCCCAAACCCTAAACTTAAACCCTAAACCACCAAACCCGTTTGCTTGAAGGATGCCCTCTCGGCCCGCCTTCTGGCCCGTGCCCGATGGAAGGTGGAGCGGAAGGCTGAGGCAGACTCGGATGAAAAGTGTCGGTTGATGGTTCCTCCACTTCGTACGTTTGCGTTCGCTGCCCCTCAAGTAATATAAGGGTCGGAAATATTGCTACATATTATTTCTTAGGGTCCCTTTATAATTATACCATAAGAACCCCCAACACCCTATTCTAATTATTCAGGCCCCTATATTCGGTGTCTCGGGTCTTAGGATGGAAGTGCACAGGGATTGATATCAGTGGCACCCATGCTCCCTTTCTTTGGGCTAGGTTCCCTTGCCACACGCCATAAAAAGACGGGTGAGTGCCCTTACTCGTAGGTGACCAGGGAACCTGGTTTGGTGTTTACCCTAAACCCTAAACCCTAAACCCTAAACCCTAAACCCTAAACCCTAAACCCTAAACCCTAAACCCTAAACCCTAAACCCTAAACCCTGCACTCCCTATCCGCCCTCCTCAACTCGAAAATGCCGATGCAGCATTTTGGTTGTACTGCTCTGATGCGGCTGCCTACCGGCTGATGCGGAAGCCTTGGGACATGACAATAAATATAAATATAAAGATAAGTATAAAAACAAAAATAAATATGCATATATATATATATATACATACGTATATATATCTCAGAAGCAGTTTGCACCATGACTCTGCAGCAATCCACAGGACCAACCTGCCTGTGAGTCGTGAAGCCAGGTGCTGAACGAAGAGGTTGTCCGACGCAAGCGCGAGCAGGAGGAGTCGCGCGTGGCAGAGCAGAGGAAGAAGCGCCTGATCAGAAAAGAAAGCATCAAGGTTAACTTGCCATTGTTCTCCCCTCCCAACGTCAGAGGATTCTGTGACATGTAACGATACATCCTTCAGCTGCAGATCCAACCCTGTGAGCCCGAGACTGCAGACCCCTTAAGGCCGAGGCCGATACTATCTAGGTGACACTTTACTACAACATTATATCACGTTGTAAGTTTGGGGTTCCTCTAATTCATATCAAGGGAGCGAAAAGTTACACTTTTATTGGGGGGGTAAACGAGCACCCAAGTTATGTCCTGGTTCACATGGGGATGCTCTCAGAATCAACAACTGTTGGAAGGACTGGGAAAGACTCCCTCAGGGTGCCCCAAAGTGAAGTTTGCTTGCAAAGAAAAAAGAGCACCTGTATGCAAATTCAGGTCAGCCAAGTACCCCAAAAACCCCCCAAAGGGGATATAAGTACTAGGGAGGCTACAAGTACAGTTCTTACTGGGGTTATACCCTAAACCCTAAACCCTAAACCCTTATAAGTGCCCTGAACCTCCAAACAAGCCCCTAAACCCTAAACCCTACCTTGTGCGAGAGTGAGCGACTAAACCCTAAAACCCCAGGAACGGCATCCTGGGACGCCTCTGGGGGCGGCAGGAGTCAGAGGTGGAGGCGGGCTCCGTAAGGTTTAGGGCTTAGGGTTTAGGGTTGAGGGTTGAGGGTTTAGGGTTTAGGGCTTAGGGCATAGGTTTAGGGTTTAGGGGTTTTCTGGACTTTCCTGTGGCCACGCACGAGTAGCCCGAAAACTACTCCTTTGCTAGTAGGAGGTTCGCGGGTACGTGTAAGCAGGGTGTACATGGACTCTCAGCAAAGTCATAGCCACAGTTATACTTACAGCCCTACTTACAAGTGCCCCTGAACCTCCAAGCAGATGATTTCGACCCCTTTTACTGGGCATGCTGGATATCCATTTTGCTGGGGCAGCCTCGTTGTTGTTTGGGGCAACTTGGGATGCAAAGGGATAGCGCTGCAGCAAGGCTGAGGGTTCATAGTGTGTCTCCCAGTGCAGCCAAATCATGGGCGAGGATGCGCTTCATGCGGATAATGCGGTCCAGCCCAGGAACGACCTTTTTTTTGAAATGGTCATTTGCGGTCGCAGGGAGCTTCGACCGAGTTTCTACGGTTTTTAATCCGGTCTTTCTACGGGCTTTCTGCGTTCCTTTGCTTGTGGGCAGGTTTAGCAAAGCTGGGTGCGCTCATGGAGAAATACAGTCGTTTTGCATCGTTTTGCCAACACAAAAAATAGCAGATAGGTTTTAGGGTGTTCAGAAGTGGCTATTTTGCTTGAGGGGCGGTGTTATTAGGTGTTGATCACGGATGTCTTGTTGTTCTGTTTGGGGCCCGTCGTTACCCTGCAAATTCAACTTGAAGTTCGCAACTTGCAGAATACAAACAAATTGCTTTTTCTGCCGTAATACAGGGGCCAGCGGTTAAATAAAATGGGTTATAGATACAAGTTCGCAAGACATATCACCCCGCTCACTACCCATATTCAACTACTGCCAATCCCTAAGTCCTAGTTGGAGGTTCATGGTACTTATAACCAATTATAACTGTACTTCTAACTTATAGCTGTACTTATAACCATATAAGGGCACTTAAGGGGCTTACAAGTGGATTTTAAGTACAGTTATTCTTGGTTAATAAGTACCCCTGAACCCTAAACCCCAAACCCTCAGCCCGCCAGTTCCCTGCAGAGTGTCCGAGAGGTCAGCTAAGCGGGTGGCAAAAAAAAAACTCAGCCCTCAGCCCTAAACCCTAAACCCTAAACAGTTTTTCTAGGCTAACAAGTACCATGACCCTCCAAGTACTGCCTCTGGAAGCTTCACCCGGCCCGAGGTCGAGGAGCCGGAGACTGCACTGCTCTCCGCGGAGGAGTGCGTGCTTTTTTTTGGGGGGGGGGTGGAGGGGGGGGGGGGGGGGTTCGGGTTTAGGGCTTAGGGCTTAGGGCTTAGGGGGCTTAGGGCTTAGGGCTTAGGGCTTAGGGCTTAGGGCTTAGGGCTTAGGGCTTAGGGCTTAGGGCTTAGGGCTTAGGGCTTAGTAGGGCTTAGGGCTTAGGGTTTAGGGTTTAGGGTTTAGGGCAGGGGGGGGGGAGGGTGAGGGCTTGGGGGGCGGCGAGCTTGTGGAGATGGCAGGAGTTGAGCCTTAGCTACCACGTTGTTTGGGATCCCTGAAGCTGAGACCTCGTGCTGAATGGAGCTCCGCAGCAGAACTTTTGCGGAGTTTCTGAGGCATCTTTGGGCGTTACACTTTTTTTGAAGCTGGAGAACTTGAGGGGCTCAATTCTGTAGCACTTCTGGATGGTTTCGGGTCCTGTGTTTACCCCTCCTACCGTAGATCCGCAGGAGAAAGATCAGTTGCTGACCGACTTGAAGGACGTCAGCAAGGCCCGCAGTGCAGCAATTTAGGGTTCCGGGCTTAGGCGGCTTAGGGTTTAAGGGTTTCGGGCATCCAGGGCGCCACACTTCTCAGTGATGTGTTGACTTCAACAAAACACAGGAGGAGGGTTTGGACCGAGCTCGCCAAACCCCTGGCAAGAAAAGGCGCGCCTCAGAACCCCCAAAGCACCTTAGTGCTGCGTGATACCTTAGTCTCGAGACCCTTTACAACACGCCCGCCGGCAGGTGGAGCAAGTGGACGTGCCGAAGAAGTTTTCCTTCGAGTTCGTCCTGGGGCAAATGGCGCTGGATTTGACGCTTGTCACGCTGGCCTAGGTTTTGAGGGCTTTTAGGGTTGAGATCCTTTAGGATTAGGCGGTCTCACATGCCAAAAGGGGGTGTGCATGCTGTTCACTTCGGGGCGTGGAGCAGCGCCAGCTTTTGGTGATCTTCTTATCTCGCTTATGTGTGTTGAGACTTTCGTGAGAGAAGTCTTAAGGCAACATAAGTTGGGATGTTCCCCCTTATACTTACAGTCCTTAGTAGGGATTCTAATGGAGCGTACTATACTCCCTATCAAGTATAAGGGGGAATCTCCCAGTACATAAGCCTGGCAGTAATTGCAAAGCTTCAGCAGCAAGACCCAGACTTCCCTGTGAGCCCTGTGGGACTGCGAGAGGAACTCTGCCCCAATATCTGTTCAGTATTAGTTAAACTTTGTACAATACGTCATATACATATGTATATGTATTCATATATGTATATATGTATATCACATCTACCTATATATCTACATACATACACACCCTGAACTGCAACCGCGAATGGCGCTTTCCAATCTGTGGTCGGGAGCTGCTAGCCAACCTGTCCCTGGCAATGAAGCAGGATTGACGACCAGCACTCGGACGAGGCGCGCCCTGATATCCTCTGTTTACTATAGGGGCCTGAATAATTAGAATAGGGTTTTGGGGGTGATTATAGTACAATTATAAAGGGACCCGAAGAAAACACTATTAATAACTATTCCGACCCTTATATATGTCGCCTAGAGCCGATGTACTACAGCATCGATTGCAAAAAGCTGAACCGCAAACCAGGCAGCTGCACAGGAGAGGGACGTCAGAGCGTCCTGCAAGGGCCTAGTCCCAAAGCCTACTGCGCCCTGCGAGTTTCAGAATCGAATCGAACCGGATGGATGATTCTTAGACAGTTGAAACTTAATTCGTTGATTTACTAAAAGGGTGTCATCTCCTGGCTTGGGGGGAGAGGGCTGAGGAGCGAAGCATGGAGGCTTAGTTAGTCCTTTGAACAGAGACCACCCGAAGTGCAGGTTAATCGCATCTAACGGACACTATTTCTGATGGCCCAGGGGTGTGCGGTTCTGCCTTCTGTGGTTTACCTCCGCTGCCCCCCGTCAGGTTCGACGTCAGCTCATGAGCCTGGCTTTGCGTGAGGCCGGCATCAAGCTGGACACCTGCCAGAACATGAGACCGTTTAGGGATTGAGGCTGGGGAGCCTTCACACCACCTGTCATAGTGCCCATAAACCCTAAACCCTAAACCCTAAACCCTAAACCTTAAACCCTAAACCCTAAACCCTAAACCCTGAACCCTTTGAAAGGCTGCCCCACGCATCTCAGGACATCAACATGGCAACGGACTTCCGAGGGCGTGACTCTGCGGAGTGGGGGGTGAAGATCGACCTGCGCCTCGTCTTAGGTGGCTTACGAACTTTCGCCGTACCCCCTAAACCCAAACCCCAAAACCCTAAACCCTAAACCGTAACGAAGACCCCGCATTGCTGCTGGCTAGCCGGGTGGGAAAAAAACCCTAAACCCTAAACCCTAAGCCCTATAAACCCTAAACCCTAAACCGTCTTTTGCAATGATATCTAGTCAAACTTAGAGGTCAGTGTGGGAGACGCGCCGAAAAGTCTCTTCCAGCATTGAATCTTGTGAGCTTGCGTTTAAGGAAGTCTTTCCATGCGCTGCACCAAACGAGGCTGGACCGGTGTTGAACAACTGTACCGTCAGTGCTGGACACTATGACCTACTAATTGCTTGAGAACACCGAAAAATATTTCTTGTAATATAGGGATTATCATTTGTTTTATTCTTTTGGGGTTCTTGAGCAAATAGTAGTGACATCGTTTGGCTTTTTTCTGCCTTCCAAAGGTGATGAGCAAAGAGTAAAGCACAACCACCACAATGAGCACATGCCCAAAGAAGCAAGGATACCTTGAACAAGGAAACCCCCAACCAAAACCCTACAGCCCTAAACCCTGAACCCTTAACATGAGCAGGTGGCAGAAACATAAGCCCTACAGCCCTAATCCCGGCAGCTAACAAAAAACTTAGGAACTCAGAGCCAGCGTCCGTGCGTAAAGCAAAGTGATGGCAGTTCTCACATGCTCCCAGTGAATACTCCCCATGCACTCTTGTAGAACAATGATGGGAGGATTAAAAAACCGCCCGCACCTCTGAACCCTAATGAACCCTAAACCCCCAAACCCAGAGGCCTAAATCCCTTAAACCTAAACCCCAGAAACCCCAGACCCCTAACCCATGCCGCGTCAAAAGACTACAGGGTCATGAAGGAAGGGGGCTTCATATGGGCGGGTGGGCGGGTGGGGGGGGGGGGGGGTAGGTACATAGGGAACCCTAGGGAAGCTTAGGGAGCCTTACGGTTGAGGGTTTAGGGTTTAAGTTCGGGTTTAGGGTTTTGGGGTTTAGGGTTTTAGGGTTTAGGGTTTAGGGTTTTAGGGTTTTAGGGTTTAGGGTTTAGGGTTTAGGGTTGTAGGGAGTCCCTTAAGAGCCCTATAAACAGACCAGGGCCTTCATGCAGCTGAAGTCCGCGGGCAGTGCGGGAAGCCAGTGGCTCTCCCAGGGATGCAGTGCCGCCAGCTTCTGGATGCGAATTCTGAGGGGGGTTTAGGGTTTAGGGTTTGGGGTTTAGGGTTTGGGGTTTAGGGTTTAGGGTTTAGGGTTTGGGGTTTGGGGTTTAGGATTTGGGGGTTTGGGGGTTTAGGGTTTGGGGATTTGGCTGCGAATTCGGCCTGTAACCCATAATCCTTCTACTGTACAGGTTCTGCAAGCCCCGCAGAGCCCAACCACTCGGTGATTTCCTGCCTCCATGGGTTCAAGGGGCTTGGGGAGTTCGGATAGCGTGCACTAGGGCTTTGGGATCTTTAGGAGTTTAGGGTCAGTTTGGGGTTTCGGGTTTCGGGGGTTTGGGGTTTATGGTTTAGGGTTTAGGGTTCGGGGTTGGTCCGTCGGTGTTGGGGATTTCGGCAGTCTCAAGCCTTTAAACGGAGCTCTGGGTCCGGAACGCTGAAGTGGAGTCTAGCCAAACCCCTTCGCAGGGCCTTCAGGAAGGAATTTCAGGTCATGGGTGGTGGAGCAAAGGGTTGGTAGATGTTGGTTGGTCTCCCCAGGTCTTCCTGCAGCCCACACCCTCAGTTCTATTCAGGCTCTTTAGGGGTTTTAGGGATCCAGGCAGCAAGAGTCACCCCACTCCTAATCCCGAATCCCGAAGCCCAACGAAAATCCCCAAATCCCCAAAACCGACTCAGCTGTAGGTCAGATCAGCAAAGGGGGGTCAGTTTGGGGTTTGGGCTTCGGGCTTGGGGGGTTCTAGGGTTGCGTGCAGCATGCCTAGGATTCGGGTTTAGGTTTAGGGTTTTAGGATTAGGGTTTAGGGTTAGGGTTTAGGGATTAGGGTTTGGGGTTTGGGGTTTAGGGTTTAGGGTTTAGGGTTTAGGGCCGCCTCGGAAGGCTTTGACATCCAGAGCAAGCTCCAGAAGGAGCAGAACTTGCTCAAGGTCTCCTTCGAGCTCCTTGACCACTATTGGCTTAAGAACGTAGGGTTTAGGGTTTAGGGTTTAGGGTTTAGGGCTTAGGGCTTAGGGGTTAGGTTTACGCCCCCCCCCAAAAAAATAGATAGCATTTTTTCTTTGTAAGGGTATGTAGGGATTATTATGTTATTACTTTGTCTTATTTTGATTTTTACTCTCTTTTTTTTTGGGGGGGGGGGGGGGTTCTTAAGCAAAGAGTAGTTGAATGCCCACTGTAAGAGTGTGGGTTGCTGCGGTTTAGGGCTCAGGGTTTCGGGTGTAGGGACCTGAAGGTACAAGGGTGAACCCTGGGCCTCGAGGCCCCCGCACCCTTCCCCCGAATCCAAGAAAGGTGATGAAAGTGAAGCCCCTAAGCCTTCAACCCTAAACCCAAAGCTCCCCCCCCACCCCCCACCCCTACCCCACACATACTCAGACAGCGACGTCGGCCCCCTAAACCCTAGAAAACCTAAGCCCTCAACCCCTACACCCTAAACCCTAAACCCTAGACCCTAGACCCTAAACCCTAAACTGCTTTAGGTTCATGCCTGTGGAGATACACCTCCTGGAGGGCATCGTAGAGATGGCGCCTCTTCTTGGCTTACTTGGAGCTTCATGGGTACTTATCACTTAGAACCCCAATTGTTTAGGGTTTAGGGTTTAGGGTTTAGGGCTTAGGGTTTAGGGTTTAGGGTTTAGGTTTAGGGTACTTATAGCTGTACTTTATCAGCCCCCTAAGCCCCCCTAAGGAGGTTATAATTGGTAGACTCTTCCGCAGAAAGCGCGCGGCAGCCATACGCCATTCTTTCCCCTCTGACTCACGTGGCTGGCTTACTTGGAGGTTCATGGATGCTTGTGACCCCAATTGTTTAGGGTTTAGGGTGTAGGGCTTAAGGTACTTACAACTCCAACTATCACTGTACTTCCAAGCCCCCTAAGTCTTATAGTTGGGGTTACACATGAACCTCCAAGTGTTGTAGAGCTGTAGAACGTTTCATGGCTCTCAGCATGCCCAAACCAGGCATATAGGTTTCGAGGCAGACGAGGGACGTAATTTGTCATGTTTACAAACTGGACCAGTGTTTGAAAGCAGTCAACCGGACTTCTCATGGATAGCCACATGTCGTCAGCATCCCGGCGCCAAGTGACAGTGGTGTCGAGGTGGTCCCCCTAGGCTTAAGAAATACTTGTCCAACAGTATGTGGACGGGCTTTGCTCACTGTTGCTGAGCAAGTGCTGGCAGACTTCGCCAACACATGTCGAGCTGGATGTACGTGTGCTTACATGTACCTTGGGGACGAAATGAACCCCAAAAGGGTTTATGGTTCATATACCCTAATAGGAATTATAGTAGTATAGGGTATATGACCCCCATTTTAGGGTACATTTCGTCCCCAAGGTAAGGTTCTAGTGCACGCTCGCAGTGGGTTTTCCTGTGATCTTCTTTGGGCAGGAAACCATGGAAACTGGCATTCACTGCAAAAAAGGTCTCACGTCCCAAGGTGCAAGCCTGCACCTTACTTACAGAGAATACCGAAAGCCAGCCCACCGAAAATCGGAAGAGCCCCTGTTTTGGTGCAGATGCGAGCCCGAAGCGGAAGCCCTGCGGGCCAAGGTCTTGGATTTCTGGCGCGAGCCAACACGTGCAGAGAATATGGAGATCGCACCGGAACCTCAGGCTGCGAGACGGGCGTTTTGCCCCCCTAAACCCTAAACCCTAAACCCTAAACCCTAAACCCTAAATCCCCAACAAAAGTTGCGTTGTCGGCAGGAGGCGAAGAGATGAAGCATGTGAGTGTGAGCAGGGTTTGGGGAGAGTTTGTTTTTGGGGCTTGATGCACCGTTTTACTTTATGGCTTTGGTCCCAATATGGACTCAGCCAAGAAGGCGCTGTTCTAGGCTGGTAAGCCTATGCAATTCCCGGAAAGCATTTCAACCGCACACATCCTGAATCGCCCGAAGCCCTCAGCAAACACCTTGCGTCTGTACACCTACTCGACTACTGAGTATATGTTGAAAGGTACCAAAACGGTCCGACAAATTTAAGCTTGACCCCGTTTCATACTTCATGACACACTCAAGCTTCCATCGGGACACTTGCATGAGCAAGTACAAAATAGGCATATACATGTTCCTCGAGGCCCCCAAAACGAACGTACCTCTCAACCCACCCAAAAGCTGTCCCGACGCAGGAAGAGGAGGAGGATGCCGAAGAAGTTCATGAGGGCATGGTGCACGCCTCAGGCATGGTTCAGACACCAGGTTTGCCTGCAGCTTAGGGTTGAGGGTTGAGGGTTGAGGGTTGAGGGTTGAGGGTTGAGGGTTGAGGGTTGAGGGTTGAGGGTTTAAATGGGGTTTGAGGTTTGGAGCCTAAGTTGCCAATGCCTTGCAGATAATCCCTGTAGAATGACAGTGCAACTACCCAAAAGGGATCTTCGGGGGTCATGTTTAGGGTTCAGGAGTCAGGGTGCAGAGCAGCAGAGTCAAAACGACATGAGAACATTTGAAATTCTTTTCTCGTGATCGCAGCCCGAAAATGACATAAGTTCGCTCATCAGCACTTGAGGTTTGGTGGACAATCAGTGTCTAAGAATTCCGGGCCTGGTCGTGCCCCATGTGCAACTTTAGTGGTTGATGGGCCTAGTGCTGCCCCTGGAAATGATCTGAGCCCAAACCGCTTAACCCCAAACTCCACGGCCATCACAGCCTAAACCCGGCCCCTGAAGTGAAGCTCCACAAGGGAGCCCTAGGGTTTAGGGTTTAGGGATGGGGTTTAGGGGTTTCTTGGTTGAAGGCTCCTTGGGTTTAAGAGGGTTAGGGGCCTCAGGGGGATCAAGGGGCCCGACATCAGTAGAGTCAACCATCCGCCCCCAGGAAATGGCGAAGGATTGGCTCGAGGCCAATGCGAAGCAGGCGAAGCAGCTGGCTCAAGCGGCCTACGACCGTATCCCTGACAAGATCCAGATCGAGAACTTCGGACGCCCTGGAGGGAAGGTGCTGAGGGCAGTTTCTGCGAGGGCTGGGGGTCTTGAGATGACCCTAGACGCACCAGTGTGGATCTCTGGAGCCCGAATGAAAACGGCTGGTTGGGTGTTTATCAGACTGGGAGATGTCGTCACGATTCATGCTGCTGGCGCTGGTGCTGGTGAGGTCTTTGTAGTTTCGTTGGTGGCGCCAGCTAATCGTCACCATCATCTGAACTTTCGTTCAAGGTTTGTATGAGAACAGATGTAGGGAGCCTGGGTCTGTAACATGGGTTCAGCTTGGGATATTGTGCATGCTAGCGGCCAGTCCATCAGCCAGCAGCCCAGGATTATGATCGCTTCGCCGATCCTGCACGTGCCCGTCAAGGGGCCCCTGTGCACGCACTAAGAGGCGCGCTAGAGCATTGCACTGGAGGATTCCGACACGCTGAACTTAAGGTCAATATACATCGCAAGGTTATGTCAACAGTCTGTTGCTGTTTTTTTCCACGTGGCTTCCGAGCCCTTTCGCGAACAACGCCACGGCCGGGTCTGGGCGTTTAGGGTGCAGCCCACCTGCCGACGCCACCCCCGTTACCAGAAGGCTCTGGAGGCATTCAGCAAGTCCGAATGCATTGATAGCTTGCCATGATCGCTTAGTTTTAAGATACATATGATGAACATCCAAGGTCCCAAAAACCCAGAGTGGTGTCACATTCGGAAAGTTCATCCTAAGCCCCGAAACCATAAACCCCCAAACGAACCATGAGCGCTAAACCCCCATTAAGCCCTAAAGGACCTAGAAGCAAGAGCCTCGCCCGCGTCTGCCAGTGTGAGAGTCGAAAGGCCCCAAAACCTAAACCCCCCAAGCTCCCCCAAACCTTAAACCCTAAGCCCCCTAAACCTTAAACCCGAAACCCTAAACCCTAAACCCTAAACCCAGGCTGGGGACTGCTATCTTCAGCCTTGGCCAGCTGCATTTGCAGACGCGGGGCCCGTATCTGGGCAGAGCATGCTTAGGGTTTAGGGTTTAGGGTTTAGGGTTTAGGGTTTAGGGTTTAGGGTTTAGGGTTTAGGGTTTAGGGTTTAGGGTTTCGAGGAGACTAGGAGATTTTGCGTCCGATTGCGTGATGTGACTTCTGAGAAATTGCATGATTGCTGGCAGCCTCATAGTCCGTTGGCAAAAAAAAGGGTTAAGGGGAGTTGTGCACCACCGTGGCTGGCACGAGCTTTTGTTAAGTGTTTGGGGTTTGGGCGCTTTGGGGTGAAGGCCCGGCCATACAACATGAGTGACAAGGGTGTTAGGATGAGGAGCCAAAGTGGCTTCTTAACTTTTGCAAAAAATTCTCATTTCCCTTGAGTTGTATCCAGCTACGGAGGCTTCTATGTCGGCTTTCCAACCCGAAGCCCCAAACCCGAAACCCTAAACCCTGAACCCTAAAAAACCTAAACGCTCCAGCTGAGAGAGTCCAAGGTGCGAATACCGGTCTGTCGACCTGGAGATGCAGCTGCCCAGCTCTCTTATCTGGCTACTACTTGCTTAAGAACCCCAAAAGAAGAAAACATGATAATCCCTTATATTATCTTTAGTAAGGAAGATGTTTTTTTGTTTTTCGGGGTTCTTATGCAATTCGTAGCTGGTCAGTTCTCAAACTGATGGTCCCATGTTGGGTACCTAGATTTTCGCGGCCGCCTTTTAAGCGTAACCCAACAAGGGGCCATCTTTTTCGAGAAGTGACCATCTAGGGTTTTCACGGAGTTTGGGTCGTCACCCATGGATCCTCATTGGGGCCCCCGTGAGGCTAACTAAACCCCCAACCCCAAATTCATGGATCTTCATTTTCCCCAAAGGCTTACGCAGACGACCCTGCGGGCCACGTCCCTGCGGCACGAGCAGTTCGACATGAATCTGGGCAGGAAACATCCGGAACACCCAGAACCCGAAGACCACGGGGAAACCCTCTGAATCCTAAACCCTAAAACCCTAACCCCTGGATGTTGAGATCTGCTCTTGGTTATGGAGTCTGAGGCCTTCATAGGCAGATTTGGTGGTGTATTGCGGTGTATCGAATGAGCGTCATTGTGTGTGCGTGTGCTATAGTGTCAGAGGGCTCGGGAGGGGACTGTTTGAGAAACCAGGGAGGTTCTTTTTCAAGTTAAAGAGTGCTTTAGGGTTTCGGGTTCGAAGCCTTTTGCCAAAAGGGTTTTCAAGGGACCTCGGGCCTTGAGCCAGCATAATAAGCGGTGAAAGATGTTGGGACGCTATGACGGGCAGGTGCGAAACGAGACAGAGTCCACCTAGCGGCTTCCAGTACTTGGAGGTTCATGGGTCTTTATAACTCCAATTATAGTCTACCTACTTAGGGGACTCGTGCGGCTTTTCCCGCCCCCTCCAAAAGCAACATCGCGTAGAACCGAGCAAAGGATCCAGCCTGTGCCTGTCGACGTCATCATTGAGTACAGGCGAGGGCAGCTGAGAGCCTGCCCCGCTGTCAGAATAGGGTTTAGGGTTTAGGGTTTGGGGTTTAGGGTTTAGGGGACTCCCCCGAAATCTCACACAGATCGGTTGAGACGTGCTCCAGGACTATGGCGGGTTGTTGGTGGCTTAGGTCTGTGTGGGGTTCATGCGGATAGTGTGCTGCCTGGAGGGGTATGGAGGACAAGAACGTGGTGTCCGTGCTTCTCGGACTCATCCCAACTTCAAGCAACCCCAGTGTTCGGTCTAGTTCAGGTTAAGGGCTTCCACTGCCCACGGAACCTACAATACTTGCAAAATCAGTTTTTCGGGCCTAGACGGTTTAGGGCGTCGAGTGCGACTGCCGCTGATTTCATGACGTTTTCTAGGGTAACTTGTGGTTGCATTTCATACCCTGGACTCTTGCGGGTTGGCTCCAAGTAAGGGTTTGGGGTTTAGGGTTTAGGGTTTAGGGCTAGGGTTTAGGGTTTAGGGTTTAGGGTTTAGGGTTTAGGGTTTAGGGTTTAGGGTTTAGGGTTGCGTATCTCAGGGACATCTCTGCGGACGAGATGCGCTTGTCCTTGTCGCCGCAGGCGTTGCAGATCCTGTCACCTGGCTGTCTGCCAGGAGAAAGGCTTCTTCAAGCCCTAAACCCTAAAATTGCCCTAAAACCCCTGAAGATTGTGCATTCAGCCAGGGCCATGCAACAGATGCAGTGGAGCAGTCTGGAGTTCAGGGGGGTTAGGGATTAGGGTTTAGGGGGACTCCAGTCTGGGTTCACAGGGCTTGGGGGGAAGGCTTCCCAGCAAGCTCTTCAAACAGGGTTTAGGGGGGTTTAAACCTTAAACCCTAAACCCTAAACCCTAATCAGGGTTTGCACGCGTCAGAGCCCCAGAAGGCCAGACCCTCCGAAGTAAGAAGCTTAGGCTGGCGACGCCCACGGGCCTGATGAGCGTCATGCCATTCAGCTACATGGAGGGGTGTCTACGGTTTCGGATTTGGGGTTTAGGGTTTATCCTAAACTAACACTGAACCTTAAACCCTGGACCGTCTCGAATCTGCGTGCGAGTGCGAGAGTCGAAACCCTGGATGCCAAGGGATGGCAAGCTCAACGAAGACCCTGCCCGAAACCCTAAACCCTAAACCCTAAGCCCTGTTAATTAGCAAATGCCTTCAGTGCAATTCAAAGGGTTTTCCCGTCCACCTAGAGCAGTTTCCAGCGAATCTCACCTAGTGGGACTGCGCCGGTGTTCCGGGTCAAGGAAGGCAGAAACACGAACCATGGGCCCCCCTTAAACCCTCTAAATCTTACACCGCAAGCCATGTCTGCTGGGCAGGTGGCACAACATCCAGCAAAAAACCCAGACGCCCAGGTACGTTTCGGAGGCTACGGACGGCCAAGGCGGCCAAAGGTCTGCAAGCCGTCGCCAAAGCTTCGCGCGGCTGGCCTCCGAGGCCCGATATTTTTCGTCGGACGCTTGAGACAAAAAGGGGTTTGGGTTTTAGGGTGGAAATTACGGATTCGTTGCGAATGCCTGACACAGAGAGAGAGAGAGAGAGAGAGAGAGAGAGTGAGAGAGAGCCCCCAAGAAAGAAAGAAAGAAAGAAAGAAAGAAAGAAAGAAAGAGAGAGAGAGAGAGACAGAGAGAAAGAGAAAGAGAGAGAGAGAGAGAAGAATAGAGAGAGAGAGAGAGAGACCCAAATACAGGGGCGGGCGCGGACGCCCGGGGCTTCGGCCCCAAGCCGAAAGAAAGACAAAAAGAAAGACAGCAATAAAGAAAGAAAGAAATACATAAATAAAGGAATAATGAAAGAAATAGAAATAGAGAGGGATTCCTTATAATCATCATCCACTACTTACATATATATATATATAGATATAGAGAGAGAGACCTTGAAGGGAGTATATAGGGTACCTAATTCCCCTGCAACTTGTAGGGCTTTCCAGCCGCCACCATCAGCAGCATCACTGTTGCGAGTGTCTTCAAACTTCTTCGTTCTACGCAAAAGACAGAAGATGAGCGAGCGCCCGTGTGCGCCATCTTGAGCCCCCAAAGCCACATGCCCAAATTCCTGGCAAAAAAAGCTGCCAGAGGACCATCAATGGGTTCAAGGGTTTTGTCAAAACCTTAAGCCCCAGGCCTCAAAAGGGAAAGGAGGCATACAAGCGCATGCCGAAATGCACAGGGAAGGGGGGCTCAGATGGGTTCAGGGTCAAGGAGGCAAAGAACCCCCCAAAGCAGAAGTCGAAGACCAGCCAGGGTCGTTGGGGCGAGGACGCGATGTCTGAGGCAGCTCGGCTTCATCAACATCCTAGACCCCTGGGAGGATCCAAAAAGTAGAGCCCCCAACTAGTACCCTCCACTACTATTGGGTCATTTTTTAGGAGCCCTTTGGATTCCCACATCTTGCGTTCAAAAGTCCTTCGAACCCCTGCTTCTCCCGTCGACTTCCTGGGTGTAGTAGGGGGTCCGTATTCTAGGAGATGCACACATGCTGGCCAGCAAAAGCTGGATGGCCCTTAGGGCCATGAAGATTCTGAAAACCCTGCTACAAGGGCTTAGGGGTCAGGATGCTTTTCAAGCCTCTTTTCAGATCCCGACCCTCGCATCTGACCCATGATCTCCCTTCAGCCTGGGGAAGTTGCATAGCCCCCCCATCTCGCCCCTTGACCTCTCCTCTGTTTTGCAACACATACCTCACCACCATGCCGGTAGTTTTGAGTCGAGGGCTTCTGCTGGGGCCTAAGGTTTTGCAGTCTTGTGCCGTGGGTTTGGGGTATTTTGGGCGGCGGCCTTCCGTCAGAAATGGCTGGGGAGAGAGACAGGGTTTGTCCCATGCAAGGCGGACTTGGACTTAGGGAGGAAAATATGTCTGACAAGGAGGAAGCAGAAGGAGAGGAAGCGACAAGCACAACGAGGGCTCATGCTTCGGAATTTCAATGTGCCTTTGGG